CACGCCTACTCCGTCTCAGGGATAAGGAGTGTATTCGCTCAGGGGTAAGGAGTGCATGCCATAGATGTGCTAGCTCATGTTGAAAACAGTGAATGTGTGTTGTCTATTACGCTCACGAAAAAAAGAAGGGACCTAGCCAATAATCAAATATAACCTACATTACCTTGGCCGAGGATTGTACTTGTACTTGATAAAGATAGTAAAAAATACCTTTGGTCGCAGAAATACGATTGGACGGGGCTGAGAAATTCTGATTCCATACAAAACGAAAATATTACAATAACGGTGTAATGTTGGTTCCCCGATAGGAAAAGAAATCATATTAGAGGCTGGACATGAATATCATTGGTGGGTGACAGGAAGTGATAACAGATGACAAGGGTTGACAAGGGGCATTAGAAGGAGAAGGTCACCAACTCTGTAATACGGGCTACTGCAGCAGTGGGACTTTGGAGCTTACAAGGGAGATCGTTCAGATCGTGGTGAGCTTTTCAAAAACGGTTTGTTGCATGATGTAGGGGTCCATGCAAGGACCACACAGATGGGTTCATTTTTGCTAAACGCTTTTGGGAATGTCAAAAAGGTCAAATATAATTCGAAAAGAATGGGCCATTTAAGCCACCTTATTCGCCTCCGTTCTAGCTGTAGCGTTGACAGCGTATAGTATGTGAGGTATTCTTTGAGCAGGCATGAAAAACAACTCAAAATAAGGTCAAAATTTGAAGTTTTCCACTTGAATTGTGACGAGCTACATGGGGGTTTCATCTCATCTGCGCATATCTCTTCAATAGGTCCTCCATGTCATCGCTCGGAGTGGTCGGTGGTGTGGTGAATAGCGATCGACTCTCAGTCGATGGGTTTGTGGATCAGATCCCCCTTGAGGTTTTTTTTGCATTTTTCAGTTCTTGTATTCCTATGTGCCCCGTAATGTGTATGTATACGCTACATAAGGGCATATTCTATGAGGTAGTGGTTCACAATAGGGTCTCACTTAACTATTACGCTCGCGAAATACTATCGTAAGAAACACTCCTTGAAACTTGAGCTTACGCGGTTGTCCGATGATCTGACACTCATTTTTAAATACTGCGTAATTTGCCGCCAATTTGGTGGAAAGGCTCTCTCGTACTAATATCACTGCCACCCTGCGCGACGGGCCTATTTAGCGCCATACTGGCCCCAGATGGCCTCAAACAAAAAGCCAAAATCGCCTGCCGCGCCAAAAATACTGTAGGTCAGAGCCGTGAATCAAGACCTATCGAATTCCCATTATGTAGCAGAGATATCGCTGATAATGCTTTTGTATTATGATTCCTGCCCGTGTCTCCAATTAGAGGCTTATTCAGTCCCCCTCCCGCCGCCATGGCCCAGAATGTCATTATCTCAACATGCGCGCTTGAAATTAGGGAGGCTTTTTTTATTTGCCTAGTATCAGACGCATAAGTAACGACTACAAGATTTAAAAAATGAAGTGGCGTGCACACACTGCACACCATTTGCTCTTCTGATGTGAGAGAAACAAGATCCTTCTGCATGGATGTGTAAGAAGTTCTTCGTTTTGTAAATAGCTAGATCGGTTATTAATATGTGCAGAAAATATTTAGCCTGTTGATTTCCAGTGAATTCGAGAAGCTAAAAACGCGTGTCTTGAAAGACTTTTCTGAGGTTTTGATATGCGAAAAATATGTAATAAATCTTCTCGGCGGTTCCTATGCCAGAGGCCCTCACGAACGGTTCACTGCCACGCCATCCAAATGGTCAGGTCCACTACCCCCAGGGAAACTAGAAAAAAAATTTTGCTAGCTCGAATACAAGGGTAATTAATGGCCCTGATCACGATTCTGACGACTATTTATGGTCCGACGTGATCTGGGGCCAACGTGGCGCTAAATGGCCACTGCACGCGGGGTGGGAAGCTGCATAAACCACTAGAGAAACTGCAGTGTACCTCCTTGTATGCCAAGTAAAGCACCTAAATTCTAATCTCATTCTGCGTTGTTTTCACAGCCTCTAGTCAAGGAACACGTTATAATTGAAACTTACTCAGCTCTACAGCTAAAACAGAGCCGAATAAAATGATCAAATTAGCTTATTCTGCGCACAGGGCACAGCATTAGTTGGGGATTTTGGTCGAGCCCGTGTACGACACCCCCCCCTTTTTTTGGGAGTTGTTACGACGCCACCCCCCAGGCCTCTGTCGCTTCTCAGGGGGCATATAGTACTTTTTACCAAAATTTTGCTGTCGAGCGGGGGGGCATATAGTACGTGAAACAGGAAAATCACCAAAAGTCAACCGCCACTCCCACAACGCCAAAACGTAAATACGACCCCCTCCCAAAAATGATCAAATACGACCCCCCCTCCCTTTACAACGTCCATGAAGCGAGAAAAATCAACTATCAAAATAAATTTTTCTCAGCCCAAATACGACCCCCCTCCTGGCGACCAAATACGACCCCCTATTGGGAATTCCCCAACAACGATGTGCTCTGTCTGCGCAACTTGTTTTTTTCCTTTCTTGGCATTCCAAACAGCGCTTAGCAAAATTGAACCCCTGCTTTGCTTGCAAATTGGAACCAGAAAAACAGGTATACTCTATAAAGATAGTAAAAAAAATACCTTTGGTGGCGGAAAGACGAATGGCTGAAAAATTTAGATTCCATATAAAACGTAAATATTGGAAATATTACAGCTATCACAAATTTATACAGTTGGAGCTTGTGGTTATGCTACCACAGCAAGGTTGAGGTGCTGGGTTTCAACAGTCATCGTTATTTTTAGAAAGCAACGATGACTGATGACTGATCCTAAAAACCGAATATTGCAAAAAATACCTGTGGTCGCGGAATGACGATCGGACGGGGCTGAAAAATTTAGATTCCATTCAGAACGGAAATATTACAACAACGGTGGTTCCCAGAAACTTATAGAAGGCTCGAAATATCATTGGTGGATGACAGGAAGTGTTAAGAAATGACAAGCGCTAGCATAAAAAAGGGGGGTGGCCGATTTTGAAGCACGGGCTACTGCACCTGGGTCTATGGTTCCATGAAATGATATCGGACGCTGGACGTAAATTTCAAGAGTGGGTGGCTAGAGGTAATGACAGCTAACAAGGGCTTACAGGGGCCATAAAGCGGGAAAGCCACCAATCTCATAACTCGTTTCAAAGCAACGGTGGAACGTTGCAAGTGTTATGGGGGGTTGTACATAAGCATCAGTGGGGAGCTGCTTCCTGCAAGTAAGCAGGGATTGGTAGTGGGAAATAGGTTGTGATATAGTGTCCGATAAGGGCTTATAAGAGGCAGTCTCTGCTCGCAACATTTCTCTCCTTGCGACTCATCTGCAACCTCCGTAGTCCAAGAATTAATGAACGACGTCTTAAGGTTAGTGAGGTAAAGGCAGTTGGCACGATTCAAGAAAAATCTCAATGCCTAATTGATTTCGGACGAGTTTGCCGTGGGAATCTTGCCAGTTACCGCCGCGAAGATACGGCTACATCTGTGTACTCATACAAACTACTCGTACAAACTAGTGAATACGAGCGTCAGGAACGGTCGTCCATTTGTGGGCGGGCGGGCGTGGCGGGCGTTTGGGTCGGTATGTTGTAGCTTGATAGGACCCTTATAAGGGTACCTCCCAGAAAAACCGCTACGCAGCGCTTGCTCAGGGTTGCGGAAATCCGCCCTGCCAGACAATCATATCAATCCTAGTCGTCTTCAGAGATTTATCGCGCTAACTGCCTTCAAGGGTATATACGTTCTTGGAAAGGGCGTCGCGCAATGCCTTCTCAGGGACGCGGAATTCCATTTTGCCAAGCGTATTAATCCTGCTCATTTTTAGGGATTTATCACTCCGACTGCGTTTACATGTTTATGTCCTTTAGCGGTATAGTCGCACTTATTCAACCGATGATTTCTCGAGTTTCACCAAAAAGTCTAGGCACAAAGATGCCAATGAGGATGATGAGATCCACTGACAGGTAGATACGTAGATACACTTTCACTACGATACGTAGATACCTTTCACGAACTACTAGGGTGTAAAGGCCTTGACATTAGGCAGGCAGGCATTAGGGATCAGCACAGAGATTCTGTCAGTGATCAGGGCATGATTAAGCCATGGAGCGAGGCACAAGGGAGCGTCAGCCAAACTGATAGAATATTGTAAAAAAAATACCCTTGGTTGCGGATAGACGGGGACGATGGGGTAGACGACCTGAAAAATTTAGATTTTATACAAAACGGAAATATTACAACTGCCACAAAGTTGTACAGTTGCACCTCATGGTTGGTGATATAGAAATAAGGTGACAGTTTAAACTGTCTTACCATTCCTTAGAAAACAGCCTGATTACTTTGACAAAAGATTGTGAAAAAAATACCCTTGGTCGCGGTCGCGGATAGATGATGACGGGTGGGTAGTAGGGCTTAAAAATCTAGATTTTATACAGGACGAAATATTACAACTACCACAAAGTTGCACAGTTGCACCTGGCGGTGCTAGTACAGAAGTAAGGTGGTGAGTTTGAACTGTTTTCGTCATTCTTAGAAAACAGCCTATTACTACTAACAAAAGATTGTAAGAAAATACCCTTGGTCGCGGTCGCGGATAGATGATGACGGGCTGAAAAACCTAGATTTCATGAAATTGGAAACATTACAGCTATAACAAAGTTGTGCAGTTGCACCTGACGGTGCTAGTACAGAAATAAGGTGGTGAGTTTGATGTGCTTCTCTCATTCTTGGAAAACAGCCTATTACTACTAATAAAATAATATAAAAAATTACCCTTGGTCGCGGACAGATGATGACGGGCTGAAAAACCTAGAATTTCATAAAAAATGGAAATATTACTTTATTTTTATCACAAAGTTGTCCAGTTGCACTTCGCGGTTGCTTTGATTTGTTTTTCCTCATTTTTGGAAAACAGCCCGACTATCACTACTAATAAAAGATTAGAAAAAAATTACCCTTGGGCGAGGACAGATGACTTGGGGCTGAAAAACCTAGATTTCATCCAAAACGGAAATATTACAACTATTACAAATAGGGTAGTGCGTTTAAACTGTTACCGTTTTGTTAGGAAAACAAAATGATTACCACGAGGAACTAGAGATTGCAAAACTTACTCTTGGATAGTAGACTCGTGGATAGACGACTCGTGGATAGACGACTCGTGGATAGACGACTCGTGGTGCACAGTAAGCCTGAAAAAACTCTATTTCATATGAAATGGAAACGTTATAGGTTGCAAAGGTACTAGGTTGTCCCAAAGTTTGTGAAACTTTCGAGCATTTTTTTCGAGTTAAGTTTACTCCAGTGAGAAGCAATTTTGATCATTAATATATATGTTATCCATTGGCAACTTCTTGCCAACACAACGCAATGAGTGATTGCCTTGCTTCCAGAAGCTTCTTGGTTTTGTGCCCAGAAAGGCAGCTGGGTCATTTTTGAGGTACTATCAAAAATCGTATTTTTTTACCTAGAAGATGGCTGCTGTGAGATCACTTCAGATAGAGACCGGGAAGAGCTAAGTCAGGGCTAGACGAAGACTGTGGTGGAATTCCCCAGTTGAGCTTTAGGATCTCAAGCAGTGTCATTTTCGGAATGTGTGACCCTGAGCAGTGGTGGAGTAGGCAAACATTGCTGCCGTTCTGGGACGCAATGTGGCGTTTCTCAACCCTTTGCAGTTTAATACACTAGGGTTCGTAGACCACAGCGCTGAGAAGAAGAAATCTGGAAGGCAGAGATGAACCCACCACATACACAGTCTCACCGCCCTACTGGATTGATAGGATTGCGCGATCGGTTCTGCCCTTTCTGGGGATCTAGCCGCTGGCGCTTCCAGGAGTGATTCACCTAGAGACACCTACTCCATATCCAGTTACAGCGCTGTTCAACCAGTCCGTACGGCGGAGCGGGAGAGAAGTTGTAGACAGTACCCACATGTGCTCCCTTGGAGTATTCAACTCATGAGAAAAATTTTGACCGAACTTCAAAACTTTTCAAGGAGCGAGGCCCTCTCTCATTTGTGCTTTGGGACCAGTCAAGTGTAAGGACTAGATAGCAAGTTGATTTGTACGTATTGGTTTTAATCAAGGAACACAGTAGGTCCAAATCCAAAGGCAGGTGGCCTCCATTGGACGAAGTTTTTCTCCCGGATAGAAGTCACTCAAGCAGAAGCGATAGGGCCATTTCAGTGCCGTACTGTGGAGTACCGTCATGGACTCAACCAGCCAGAGAAATGTGGCGTGTGACTCCAACCACCTTGTGACTTGGTGGAGATTCATATAGCGAGGTGTGTCGAAAATGATGAAGTTCAATCACCGTTTTGGAAATGAGAACAGCGACTGCGAGGGACAGTGAAGAAGCTGCCGGATGCATTCTTAACACACTTCCTATAGACCACATAACTGGATCTTGGAATGGCTTAGAAAGGATCTGACAAGAGCTTAAAAAATGTTCACGAATTTTTGGGACAACCTAATATACGGTCCAATTACAGACAGCCATCTTTATACACAGGTCTAAGGAGGCGAATACGATTTGCCATCGTAAAAAGAAAATGAATGTTACCAGAATAGGAAGGTAGCAAACGTACCGGTCGAGGATACACCTTAAAAGATGCACTTATCGTGAAAATGGAAAGATAGCAAGTATTATAAGACATAAATCTAAGCTAGTGTTTGAAATAATAATCAATATAAATACAGTAAATACTCGTAGAGACTGTCAAAATTACATAAGCAAATGTGTTAAATAAAAGTAAGAAAGCTAGCAACTCACAGGATACACTACTCGAGGATAGTATGGCTGAAATATTGTTCATTTACAAAGAGTAACAAGGTAGGAGTTGAAGATGTAAACAGCGTGGGCAGGATTGCTGGGAACAGAAATTTGAAGTATTGTCAACAGGTCATTCAAGACAGGGCACACGCCATCGTTGTGATGATGACAACGGGGGGTCGTATTCGACCGCGAGTGGGGGGTAGTATTTGGTCGTTGTTGGAGAGGGCCTGCCAAAGATCTATACAACTACTATTTTCCGATAGGAAATGATAGTTAAATCCTGACGACCCCCCCCCCGCTCGACAGCAAAATTTTGGGGAAAAACCAGAAATTTTCGGGTAAAAATGGAAAAAGTGGTAGGTAGCATGGGGAGGGGGAGGAGGGTAGTATTTGAGGATGGAATTAGGTGAAGTCGTATCTTTCAAGAAATGATCACAACGTGCTGGCCTGTCCTGATTCGAGAGTGGCTGTCGTGTAGTTTCATTTCCTTTTGTCGAAAATGAGGGTAAAAGGGTTCAACGACTTGAAGCCAAGCTAACAATATGTATCGCGAATATTGATTTCGGTGTCCTGAAGCCCCGTAGTAGTCTGGCTGATCGTCGACAAGCTCTGAATCTGACTCCAAATCTCCAAAGGGTCACTTCTTCGAGGTTGCAAGTAAAGTCCTGCAGCACTTTGAACAAGCTTTTCTAGAAAAAACCGCAACACATTTCGAATATATTACCACGATTTACCATAGTTATTCTGATTAGGGGAAAACGTTCTTGGAACTCATTACAGAGGAGTGTGTTGTGGCCCTATAGAATGTCCCGAATCTCAAAAACCTATCAAAGGGGTAGTTACACCCAGACCTATTCAACATTACGGGTCCCAGCAGGCCTATCGTCCAGGCAGCTAACACCGGAGTTGTCTTCAAGAAGGACGTCGCTTGTCACAGTGTGCCGCCGGTATCAGGGCCAAGGATCTGAAGCTATTTTGACCACAGTTGGGCCACGTATTGACCGGCCACAGCCCGGAATGACTGCCATTTACTCAACCCCTGGATGCGCAGTCAAACGTAATCACTAGTAAGTTGGTCTAGTAAGTCTGGTTGTCCCATATGACGACTAATGCATCCTTGCCTTCTCGGTTTTGAAAGAAAATCTTGCGCAATGGAAGCCACTTGAGTTCCATCAGTCTGGCAAAGTGCGCCGAGCGCTTGTGGCCGAATTTTTCTTCTTTATTTTTACTAGAGGGACTTTTGGATGGGAACGAGAGCTGGTTTTTTGACGTG